CAAAACTCTCATATGAAAGCAGCTTTTTTTTCAGTTAGGACTTCATGGTTTGATGCAATAATGGCATTAAATAGCTCATTTCATGTGACTAACCTGCAGGAAGCTGGTAGGAAAAGGGAACACATCTGGTTACATTGGGTTGACTCCTATAGTGAAGACCTCAATGCATTGGCCTGCATGGGGTACCATTTAAGGGCACATGATTGCAGTGTGCTGTATTTGGGGCTACTGTGGGGAGCAGGTGTATACAGGAAACACTGGATCAGCCCCAGAGATCCCTTTGTTGAAGAAGTTTTTGCTCAACATAACATCAAAGTCTAGCATCTCTAAATATCAGTACCTAGTCGGTGGAATCTGGGAACCTCAAAATGCTCGGAAGTGGAACTCACTTGTGCAAAGGATTTGAACAAGCAAACCAGCAGCAGACACACACATATCCAGGCTTCCGGACTTGAGGTCAAGGGGAGCTTTGCCATTGTCTTCAGCGGGGTCAAGATCTCACCCCTAGTTTCCAGCTCAGCCAAGGATTTGCTCTACCAGCTTGGATGCGGCACTTCATCTCAGATCCATCTGAAGGGGGGTTGATAATGTTTCCTTGGTCTGTTTTGTCTAGCTGGCACACAAGCCGACTCTTGAGAGCCTGTCCCATGGCCCGTGATCTTGGGTGGGACTTGTTAATACAAATCAGAATGGATAAATACTTTTATTCCTCTGTAATGTTTTAACTCGGATACCATCGTCCTTTTTCATATACGAGGTACGCAAGGTTTCAGTCCGTCAAACAGTATGGAACCAGAGTAGGAGACTCACCAATGGTCTGGAAAACTGTCCATCTAAACCATTCTGGTGTCTGCAGCTGGGGTTTTCCAGGGAGCTGAAGGGAGCTAGGCACCCAATAATTTAGGCACTTCTGGAAATCCTCAGCTGAAGTTTGCACAGGTGTGGCAGGAGGCTATCGTTAAAATGAACCCACAGGGTTTGGACTGTAAATACTTTGCTCTCCTAAGAAACAAATGTTGGTGATTTATGAAGACTTGCAGTTTTAGCAATCTGATGTTGATTAATCCTGGAAGATGTTCCTACAATTAATGAAAATTTCATAGACTGACTGGGGAAGAAGGAGACCATTTTATGTCCCCTGCCAGATGGCCTGGACCAGATGCTCACTTTTTTTTCTTTGAACTGAGAGTCTAATGACTTCTACGTCCTTTGAAGCCTGCTTCTCCACTGCTTAACCAGATGTATTTGCATGATAGTAGCAGAGCTTACTCAACAATTGCAAACTTGGGCTGTTTTTTCTGCCCTCTCACCTGGGTGCTGTGTAATGTTTGTTCTGGTTTGGGGGTTTTCAAGGGGAGAGCAAACACTGACAGACTTCCAGTTGATGCAAATCCCTTCTTGGTATAGCCCCATTGGCTTTGGTGGCGTTACATCGGGAATGAATTTGACTCCGTGGCTATTCAGCATGCTGTCTGGTTGGGTTCATTTCACAAACCCACACACTGTTTCCGTCCTGCGCTCGGAGATTTGTCAGGGCATCAGACAAAAGAGAGCTTCAGAGGATCTAAAACAAAAGAGGACAACAGCAAGAACAAAACAAAGGCCTTAAAGATAAAGAACAGTTTGAAAAAATACACTTATGAATGAACACAGTGAACTGAAAGATAGGGGATCCATGATCTGGATGCTCATTTTAAGCAGAAGAGTTGAAAAGGTGAAGGAGATGTTGCAGTTTCCAAAGCAGAGCAGCCTTCTTAGGTGGCGAGTATCAATGAAACCCTATCGGAGCATGACTGCGATGCATCAGCTGAAAATCTGACCCTGTATGCAAGTAGCTCTGTTGGGCTGTGTGTGGTTCTTTGCGGGATCCAGCTGTAGAGCTGGAGGTAAAGGGAAATGTTGGCTTGACTTGGCCGTGGAGAAGTCAAGCGTGGTGTCGAGCTTGGCCTTTGAGAGTACGTCTAAGAAAAGATTTTTCTTTCCAAAGTTGAGGGGTGGCAGCATGATGATACTGAAGACGGTGTTTAAATTTAAATGTTAAAGGAAATGGAAATAAGAGACTTATCAGCTGCATCTCAGTCGTGCTTTGGTAGAGTTACATTGATACCCACCACCTAAGAAGGCTGCTCTGCTTTGGAAACTGCAACTTCTTCATGTTTTCACTGGGGTTTTTTTTTGCAGAAACAAGTACTGTAAAGTCTGGCTTTGCCAGTGCCCAATCTTCCAAAGCAGGAGTTAGAAGAAATCCCTTTTTCTCATCTCATGCCCCTTTTCCTTTTCTTTTTATCTCCTTATGCTCTCACCACCACCTTTCAGGCAGTGTAGTTTTAAGTGGTAAATCCAAACAGACCTTGACACAACACCAAAAGAAAATGTGTAGAGAATAGGCCACGGTCTTAAGAAGCGAGTAGTGATGTTTGGAGGCTTAATTGTGGGAACTTGTATGGAGATGCTTAAAAGGAACCTGATTTTTAGAGGGGGAGTACTTAGCACTTTATAAATATCAGGCCACTTTAAGATACAGCAGGTTATAGTGTAAAAAACTATCACAAACGGTCCTCGAGCAACACCATGTAAATGGAGCTGCATGTTACAATACCTGCCTAGATTAAGACAGTCAGATACAGCCCTCATACAAACCCTGCATTGTAGCTGAAGCACAATAGATTTTAATGACTTCAAAATAAAGAGGACCGAGTCTGCATGTATATTTATACTTAAAATGAGCCTGACATAAAGTCTGCACCACAATGAAGGTGGCCATATGCTCCTCTTTTGAGTCTGCCTCCTAGCATATTTATACTACATAGAGCAGATGCTCCTCCTAGATCAATAGTTTGGCTGGGAAGGAAGGTAAGAAGCTCGCTAAAATTGTCTTAGCATAACATATTAATAATAAAAGATCTCTTGAGGCTGCCTTTCCACTGTGTTTTATAGTGCCTGGCATTGTGGGGTATTACTGGTGAACAAATTATATATAATAATGATAAGGATAAAGGGAATTAGCAAAGAGATGTACAGGTCTTTGCCCCACATAAGGAACCAAACTTAAAGTGAAAGGTAAATGCAAACCATTACTGCTATTAAATCATCTGTTGTTATCATTTGAAATGGTTGGTCAATGTTAAGGGAATTTAAGGTTGGTAAAAAAGGGTAAATTTCCTAGAGGCAGGAGTTGAACTAAGAAGGAAACCTGTAGCCGGGATAATCCAAGCCTGTACGAACTTTAGGCTTCCCCACTCGAACCAACAAAATTATATGACAAGTGATGTAGATTGTGCTGATTGTCACAGTACAGTCCTTTCTCTTTCTTGCTTGGTTGATTTTGCTGTGAAACAGTACACAGTGCTGATTTTTAACTTGCATTATTGGACCCCAGGGCAGATGCCCCAGTGAAATGAAGGGGAGCAGCTAGCAGCGATCAAGGGGGCTTGTTTTAGGTGGCCTGCGGATGTTTGGGAAGAAATGGTTCATTGCTCAGTTCACATTTTGAAGATACCCCTTCTAGCCAGGCATGCTGGAGAGATTCCCCTTTTAAAAAAAAAAAAAAAAAAAGGGAACACAGATTTTGGAGCATAATAATGCAGCTACCGCACGGACACCCCAGAAAATAATCACCAAAAAAACCAGAAAAACCCCCAAAACAGAGACAAACAAACAAATAATGCTCATCTCCATTAGCCCATCAAACCACTGCAAGTTGTTCAGCTCTGCCGCAGAACTTGTCTATGCACAGCATAGGCACTGGTGGATGCTGGCAAGTCCAAAATCAAATGTCCTTTGCTTTTAACCTGGCCATGTTATATCCTATCCTTTCTGTTCCTTGGCTTCTCTGTTGAGATTCTTTATCCTCTCATCAGAGCACCAATCCATTCATGTGACCCATCAACTGGCCCTTGGAAATAAATGACTTTTAGTTAATGATGGTCTAGGCCAAACTGGGACTAATGTCTTTAAGATGAAAGGCTCCCAGGCCCTTCCTCCATCCCTTGAGTCTCCAGGGCTGTAAATGTGTCACTGCTCAAGTACACTAAAGCCAGCTGTAAAAAAAGAACCAGAAAAGGGCAACAGGTGCATACCACATGCGGTCCTGCGGGCTGGAAGTCAGCAGTGTGGACTGGTCTCATTTCATGACACCGTACGCATTCCCTCCGGTTACACTATTTGAGAAATTTCCCTCTACTTTCAGTGAAATTGGAAAAGGTCTTTTAAAACACCTTTCAAAGGTCTTGTGAAATGCTAGGGACAAGCACGTTCTGCTCTCCCTCTGAACAGCTAATCTTGGGCCCAGGTCATATTGTTCAGTAGGAAAAAGCCACGCCAGCCACTTCTTCCCTCTGACTTTTTGTCTGGTATCAGACTGAAGCTCCTGTTTCTTAATCACCTTGGGCCTTGTGGTGATACAGACTGGAAACACAGTCAGTGAGTGCCACCTACTGTATATTTATCTGGAAATGCTAGAGCCTAACCTACCTATGAGTCGCTAGCATCTTCCCCCACACCCGTTTGAAGAGTCCAGTGGTCCCATGTATAGTGCCTTCTGCCCCTTTTTCATTCACTTGTCTTCCAAATCCCACGTGGCGCCATCCATAGTTCAGAGAAGGTGTAAAAATGGTTGTCAGCAAAATCCAGTGGCACCTTGTTGACAGTCAGGGTGTGATCCAAGTTGTCACTTCACCAGTCTTTGGGAAGAGTGAAAGAGCTATTGCCTTCATGTAACAGATGGGGAGCTGGGGGGTAGGAAGACTAAGAGAGTTAAGAAGCCTGTGGAAACCAACTCCAGGTTTTGCACGTCCCAGGCTGGCCTGGCACCCACTGGACCATCTTTCCAGTCCGTATCCTTGTAGCTTTTAAGTTGATAATCGATACCTCAAAGTGGCATTTTACAAAGTATGCATCATGTAAAGCACTCGCATTGCTTGATAAAGCATGTGAGCTGAAGGTCGAGGGCATCTCAGTCGACTTTCTGACCCGTTGCTGTCCATGATCCTCTTCGTGTCATTTGAGTGATTGGCAATGCGCGCCCGGTGACAGTCCCGAGCCTGGCCTGTTTTATTTTCACCTGTAAAACCACAGCTGTGAAACAAAGCAAACACCTGTGAAATGGTATGGTTTAATGACGGAATAAACTGGAGTTCGGTCTAGGACATCAAGACGTTACTTATGCCGGTAAGAAATGACATGGGCACTGTCAATGTGGACCTCCCACAGGAAATGGAAACCCTGGGTGGCATCTCAAGTCTTTGCCTCCGCTTTGTTTGCATTTCTCAAGTCTCTTGCTTTCTCCATCCCTTTTTTTTTTTTCTTTGGGAACTGACTTCTTTAGTGAACATGAGCTGAGCGTGGACTACCAGGCATCCACCAACCTCCAACTGCTAAATCCTTTCTGAAGGTGCGGAGGATTAGAGCTGGTTCTTTTCACCAATATTTAACAGTCTGATTTTCTGATGTGGCTTGCAAGAGTTATGCTAGAAATGGGTTCTATATAAATCATAGCAAATAAGGGTGGGAATAGACCTCAGCAGGACATCTAGTCCAGGGGCGGGCAATTACTTTGAGTGGAGGGCTGCATACTGAGTTTTGGCAAGCCATCGAGGGCCACATGATAGGCAGCCAGGGGCAGATTAATATTAATTTTCTAAATTTTTTAGGGGCCCTGCGGGCCAAATAGAATGGCTTGGTGGGCTGCATCTGGCCCCTAGGCCACCTTTTGCCAACCCCTGATCTAGTCCAACCCGCTGCTCAAAGCAGGACCATCCCCAACTAGATCATTTCAGCCAGGACTTTGTTGAGCTGGGCCTTAAAAACCTCCAAGGATGGAGAGTCCACCACCTCTCTAGGTGACCCATTCCAGTGCTTCACCACCCTCCTAGTGAGAAAGTTTTTCCTAATCTCCAACCTAAATCGCCCTTGCTGCAACTTGAGACCATTGCTTCTTATTCTGGCATAGGCTCCATTGCTCCTTTTTCTTTCAAATACACCAATACACCGTGACTTGCATGTTTTCCCCCCCATCAGGGTGGCAGTAGTAACTCTCATTATAAAAGCAAAATGCAGCTACCCTGATACAGATAGTTCCCAGCACTGCCAAGGAAAACTGTCTTCTTTAGGGATATTTCTAATCCATGTAGCAAATACAAACAGGAATAAACACATTCAATAAAAGACCCGTCTGCACAACATGTCGTATGCTTCTTAATATCCAGGAAAACTGTACCATCAAACACCCTATTGAGAAAAACATTGCAAATTTAGACTGTAATCTCATCATCTACATCTAAGCTAGTGAACATCTGTGCGCCCTGAAAACGCTCTCAGCTGTGTACACACATGATGGTCCCCCATGATTTTTCACTAGATTAGATGCAAGTGTTATACAGTGGATTTGTACCAGAGCAGGTCAAAGGCTGAATTTAAGTTTGTAAATACTTTTTAATATAATAACTACATTGTCCTGTGACAGTATTGCTGACTATTGTTTTGGGCTTTCGTGAAAGAGCTGTACTTTCATGTGGGTTAATACAGAGACAGCAGAGTCCTAACCGTGATGGAGGTCTCTGGCAAAAAAAAAAAATGAAATAGATTGTGCGAGCTAAATTTTGCTCCCTAGACTTTTCGAGGGAAAAAGGGGAAGACATTGTAAATGGTGGGTTGTGAATACCAATTAACCCAAACATCTGCATTGGAAGCAATCATATGACCCTCTCAAAGCTATTTGCATGCTCAGAGCTCATCCAATCAGGAAAGGGACGCAATAGCATGTGACACGGGAGACCAATCATAGCGGTGAATAGCGCATATTAAAAGCTGTAGTTAGAGCAGTAGCTCATCTTCGAGCCTGGATTAGCAGTGGCAGGTTTCTGTTCTTTTCCCTGAGCTTTCTCCAAATGAATGGAAATATTAACACAGCTTTCGGACTTTTTCAGCGGTGGGATAATTACATTGCACTGACCTGGAAAAGAAATCTGACTAAGCTTGGGCTTATTGTGCTCCCAAAGAAGTCCATGTTAAACTCCCACTGATTTCAATAAAAGCAGGATTAGACCATACCTGGCTTATCCAGAATGACTAAAGGACTGAACAAAACTTTCGCATTTGGTTTTGTACGAATGCTCAATCCCTCTCCCCAAAATTTAAAAAAATCTTGGAACTGAATTTCCCCCATTACCATTTTCTCTGTTCTTTTATTTTTTTATATATATACCTTTGTTTCCAAGTTGTCCCAACAAGTTTTTCAACCAGGGAGGGGAGAAACCTGAACATGGAAAATTTCAGATGCTGTTTTTTTTTTGTTGGGGGTGGGGGGGATCAAACTTTTCTTCCTCTTTCCATCAAATATCCTGTGTCCTAGTCAGCGCTTGCTCCTTTGGGAGAAAGCCCCCCAACACTTGCGTTCCAGCTTTCAAAGTTTTCTCCATTGCAAAAAAAGGATGAAATCAGGGCTGAAATCCCACAGGTATTGCTGGTGACTGCAGACCATAAGCCATCTCTCTAGGGCAACACAAGCACCGGCAAATATGGCTGGTGGAAGATGCGATAGACAACCACACCACATCTGAGTGCAGGCTGTACGTAAGTAGAAGTACAGCCTGCTTCTGTCTTGCCTGTTGATTGCAAGGTCCTGGGGAGCAGCCTCTTTCTTGCCGACTAGCACGGCGGTTCTCGCCCTTGTTAGACTCAAGGGGCCCCCCCAACAAGTGCCAGCTAAGAAGTTTCCCCTTGTTTTTTGACTACAGAGAAATCCTAGAGCAATTCTTCTGTTGCAAAGAACTCGGCAAGACCGAATACCGCAGGGCTGAATAGTTTTAACACTATGGATTGTGGGTTGATCTTGTAAGAGACAGAGATGTGCGTAACCACCTGATAGACCAGTGGTTCTTGACCTTCTTTAGACTCGAGGCACCCCTAGGTAGACTCAAGCCCCACTTCTGAAATGCCAGCTCTTAGTTTTCACTCTTTTCTGACTACAGAAAAAAAAAATAGATCTTTATTTTTTTCTGTTGCAATGAACTCAGAAAGAGCCCAGTGATGCATTTCTATGGGAAATCTCTGGGTTTATCTTGTCATCCTAACCGTGCCACCCTGCAGCTCCCATGAAAGGCTCTCGAGGCGCCCTAGGTTGCTGTGGCACCTGCCTGAGATCCACAGGTGGAGACCGACCGAAGTTGATAAGACAGATGCAGGACAAGTTGAAGCGCGCTTCCTCTGACGCTGTGAAAACAGAAGATGAGGTGGACTGAGAAATGAGAACGTCGTGTTGGATGAAGTGAGTTTCAGCTCCTGAAAGCTTGTGCTCCATCCCCTGCATCCATCTATCTATCCCTTTAACTACTTGTCCTTCTATCTATCTATCTGTCTGTCTGTCTGTCTGTTGGTTTATCCATCCATTTGGATGTTTATCTGTCTGTCTATCCATCCGCCTGTCTCTCTGTGTATCTATCCATCCATCCATTTGGATGTTAGTCTATTTACCTATCTGTCTGCCCGTCCCTCCATCTATCTATCTATGTATCCATCCATCCACATGTCTGTCTGTCTGTCTGTCTATCTATCCCTTTTAACTACTTGTCTTTCTATCTAGCCATCTGGATGTCTGCTTGCCTGCCTATCTATCTATCCATCCATCCATCTATTTGGGTGTTTGTCTGTCTGTCTAGATCTCTCTCTCTATGCATCTGCCCATCTCTCTGTCTGTCTGCCTGTCGATCTATCTATGCATCTCTCTGTCTGTTGGTTTATCTATCCATCCATCTATGTGGATGTTTGCCTGTCTATAGCTATCCATCCGTCTGTCCGCCCATCTACCTAGGTGCCCATCCATCCGCACGTCGGTCTGTCCGTCCATCTATCGACGTATCCACCCATGTCGACGTCTGTCTGCCTGTCGCTATCCGTCCGTCCATCCGATGATTAGTCTGTGCATCTGTCTGGCTATCCATCCATCCATCCATCTCCCCGCGTGTCCGTGTGTCGATGTCTATCAGTCTGTCCATCCGCGTGTCCGGCGGCCCCGCCCCCCTCCCGCTGGCCCCGCCCCCCTCCCGCAAGATGGCGGCGGCGGGCGATGA